CCTCGTCAACGGTATAATGATTGTGTTGGTAGAAAAGGTAGTGGTCATTTTTTTCGCTATTATGATGGTATATGTGATAAATGCGGAGATTGTTTTGATAATGATTATGTATCTTATTCTACCGATATTTATTGCTGTGGAAAATGTGGGCATTATTTTTGTTATGCGTGCTGTTTTAAATGAATGCCATGTATCGATAATTAAAAATTAATGCTTCTTTTCGTAAATAACGATGCTTTTGTTTACAAATTATTAACGTTAATTAATCACACGAAAAAAAATAAAATAAAAGACAACTATAAATTAGTACACAGAATAAGATAGAAAGTGGTGTCAGTATAATAGAAGAACGAATATGAAATTAAATAATCGAAGAACGACAAAGCAGAGAAGAATGTTTGAAAAATAATTTTCTTTTATTATTTCGCTTGTCCACAAGGCAAGTTTCATACAAAAAAATTGGAACCATTCAGCACAGAGTTTTGTAGAATTTTTCAATAGTGTCAAACTTGAAAGTTGAATTCAGGTATTCAACTATTCAAGTATTCAATTAGTCAACGCTTGGAATACCACCAGCATCATCTAAAGTCGATGGATATTGTTTGTTGTTGGTTGAGATGCTTCAGACATTATTTGGAATGCCAGGAGAAGCATGTGAAAAGCTTGAGCTACCGTGTAGCACTAAGTAGGAATAGTTGTGCACACGGAGACGTGCATGGGTCGCGACTCTTCGGAGGAGGGGGAGGCGCTTCGCACTCCCACGCAGCGATGCTGAAATAAAAGATGTGCTAGGCGGGGAAACACTTTTCCCCACTGAGTATCCGTAGAACAGTTAGAAAGTTAAAATTCGAATAGCTGAATACTTGAAAAGTTGAATATTTGAATACTTCAATACTTGAACTGATATTCGAATACTTGAATTCAAGTTTCAAGTATTACATATACGAAGGAGTCGAACCTGAGACATCTTTCAAAGAAAATCTTTTTTATTTTGATAAAATTCTGATACTTTCGAAGCAATTATTCGGACAGCCGGGAACGATCCGATGCCAAGCCCTCAACTCATCGGAAAGTGGCATTTCGAAAGATCCACCGAGAATTTTGATGCCTGTCAGAAGCTAAAATCGAGAGGTTGAGATGCCTATCGGATGGCAACCCACATAGTTCATTGTTGCAGTTTTGAGAAATATAAAAAGCGAAACACAACATGTGCAAGACATCGTGCGAATATACCCGAGGATATTAGTTTTATTTCTTTGTCTGACCTATACAACATGATTACGCTATTTTTAATAGTTTTGTGTAGTTTGCTGTATTTAAGTAGAACATTGGAAGTTTGTTATTTTAACACAGTAGGATAGAGTATCGACTACTCTACCGAACCATATAATTTGCATTCTATTTTCTCTGGTCCTACACCAAAAAACTGATAGATGTCAAACGAGTATGAAAAAAAATTTTTGCAGATAGTTCACGTTATTTCTAATAGTTTTATTCTACATATATATGAACAAAAAAAAACAATACAATTATAGACGATGTTTGACATGACAGCCACGAGCATTATATATCTTCAAAATTCTTTTCCGCGAACACCAAACACAATCAGATTGTATATGAAAAATAAAACCATTAAAAATGACGTGAACTATCTGCAGAAATGTTTTTTCATACTCGTTTGAGATCCAACAATTTTTTGGTGTAGGACCAGAGAAAATAGAATGCAAATTATATGGTTCGGTAGAGTAGTCGATGCTCTATCCTACGGTGTTAAAATAACAAACTTTCAATGTTCTACTTAAATACAGCAAACTACACAAAACTATTAAAAATAACGTAATCATTCTGTATATTGCCTTTTTACGATACAACGTGAAAGAAAAATACGTTCGTTCAGCTTTTGGTTGTATGGAGTGTGTTAAGTGTCGTGGGTGTGGGTGTGGGTGTTGATTCAGAGAAGGCTCACACCCACCCCTCGAGATAGCCACACGCATACGCACATCCCGTTTAATTAATTAATTTTTTGCTAATTAGGAACTTTATTTAAGGAACATCCACCCAGAAGCGCACAGTTTTCAGCCGGGAATATTTAGAAAGTGAGTCCATATGTATCCCTAAACTCTGAAAACTATCGAAGTCTCTATGAGAATCCTGGAAGTTGCCATGGTTTCCTGGAAAATCATAATTAGTTAATGATTGCTAAAAATCCTAGGACATAATAGAAAACTCCCCTGAGAAATTTTTATGACGAGGCATAATAGAAGATCAAGGGTCTTCTAATGCGGAGGGGAGGTTGGGTGTGCGTGTGAGGAAAACAATGATACCCACACCTCACATTTCTGTTTTATTGAGCAAAATCGCATCATAAAGAACATTTCGCTTCTTCAGCATTATCACTTATTTTTTTTGAGAAATTCTTCCTACTCCTCTGTTCTAATGACGAAATATATGAAAAGTCCTTGTGGAATAGAATATTTGCGTACATCATCACTTATACTCGATGATCTTTCAGCTCAAGATAATAGTGATTTTAGACGTGATCGACCTACATTACATAAAGCAGCAATACATGATGACATACCAGACAATTTATGTGAAGGTCGTGCACAACTATCTGCTATTGATTTAATTGCTTTTTGTATGAGTTTAATTAATCATGATCTTGTTACAAATGGATTTCCACCTGAACGTATTAATCGTATTGTTGGTGAAATATCTTCATCAATGAATGGTTTATGTATTGGACAAATGATGGATTTACGTGCAAGACATATGGGTATACGAAAAGAAGTTGAACAACTTGATGAACTTGATCATATTGCATAGTTCAAGACAGGCAAAGCAATTGAGATTGTACTAATCACACCAGCAAGTTTGTCTTCCCCATCGACATCAGTAAATACTGAGCCAAATGAATTAAGTAATATTCGTGAATTGGGTCGTTTAATGGAAATATTGTTTCAAATGCAGGATAATTTATTAGATGTTGAAAGTGAAAATATTGGTAAACCGGCAGCACTTGCTGTGAAAAATAATACCGTAACATATGTATCGAGATTAGATGTAGAAAGTACTCGGCAACGTTTAAAAGAATTTCGTCGACGAACATTACAATTAGTTGATGAATGTTGGCCATCAGGTGCTGGAACAATTAAAGATGTTGTAAATTATATTGTTGATAGAAAAAATTAAGAAAATATTTACATACGGAGACGAAAAGTCTAACCTATCACCGATTTCTTTTTTTTTTGAACATGCAGCTTCTACAGAACATGTGAATGACATGAATATTTTATAAACCATAATGCGCTTACAAATTGTTATCCTTGGGGTGGGTGTGGATGCAGATGAAGAGATGCAATACAATCATATCCGCACCCACCCCAAAGAGTATATACTATTAAAAGCAGCGTTGTTTCAATAACAGGAATCTGACAACTTTCTTTGAATCGATTTTTCTTGACTTGATTCAAGTTCGTTTTTGAAGAATAAATATACTTCATAATTCACTAACCCGATACTAAATATTCGAAAGCATTCGTGCAAACTTTCAGGATTCAGGTGAGCGAGGCTGAAGAAGTTGACGCGTTACTTGTAATAACTGAAGTAAAAAAACACGCAAAAAGTTTTTGTATACGACCAGTTGCAAGATTTTACATAAAATTTAATCGATCAAGTATTATTTCAAGCTCACTAAACAAATACAAATTATTCTATGCAAAAATGAACACATGAATAACCTCGCTTTCTACCTGGCTGAAATGAAAAAGGTAAATAAACATAGACAGCATACTTAATGGATTGACTGAAGTTTGCCTCACATCAATCCGACGATATTGGAAGAAAAAGAAGATTGTGGATGTAGGTGCGGGTTTAGAAAAGAGCAACATCCACCCACATCCATACTCACAGATGAAGATGAATTTCTCTGAAACTCTTTGAATTATGATGAAACGGGTCATGCATTGTAATAGACTAATCTAGCATTATATTATGATTCATTTGGCTTGGCAGAAAAACTTGTTCAAACTATTACTTAGGTTTCTTCGCGAAACATTACTCGTCCTTGATTGCATCGACTTGCCCAAATGTATATATAGAAAATCATCTATAAATTAGTTGAAGAAAGGTAAAGGTTCTTACAACAAAATCTCAGAGAAACATTATAACAATAATTTTTTCTTGTTTAAAGCTTTAATTGAAACATAACCATTGATATCTTATGCTCATATGACAAAAATAATGTTCTCTCTCTAAAACATGTTAATTTGTTTCGTATTGCTGAATAAATAAAAAACTGACTTGATAAGTGATTAATTGAAGTCCAATTAGGATTAGTTTATTTGACTGATTTTATTAAAACTGTTGTATTTGACTTGAGAATGAATTATGTCAATGCCTTTTTATCTTCATCATGAATGCGATGTGCAACATCAGTTAGAATATAACCTAAAAGATTGAGTCCTCTCCAGTTAGCACGATTTTTAATCAATTGGTTGTTTTTGTGTAAACCAACACCCCAAATACAATCATTTGCGGCTGCTTCCACGAATAAGCTACCATAGTGTCTCAAAAGAGCATTTTTCAAATGTTCATTTTGTGTAAACTAGAAAAACAAGTTTACTTGAAATAGATAATTATGAAAAAAAATCATGTCTTACTTTGAGATAAACTCCATTTGAAACAATACGAGCACGATGCTCATGCCATATCTGTCCATCGAAGTTCTCTACGGAACGCCCTAACGCTTTACACTTACCTGGTGTTGCAGCTTCCAGAATTTTCCGAGCTATATCATCGTCGTGGAAAATTTCTAATATATGCCAAAGATGAATTAAAAATTATCTTAAATTTACAAAAGCTTACTCGCTTTGTGATACATCATGTATTGTTCACTCGAACGAAATATAAGTCCATTTTCCATGATCGAGCACGGATGAAAATTGCTGAATGGTGATGATGAGTCATAGAAGAAATGGAATTTGCCAGGTTCATTTCTTTGAAAATACGAATGAACACGATCAATGAGTTCGATTTCTATCGGAGTCAATGAAGATTTCGATGAATTGCTGTCGTTCGATGCCATCGCAGAGAAATCAGTATAAATTATAGATCAGACGTTTTTGTCGAAATATATATAGAAAAAATGAAGTAACAGCGAAGAGGTTGCCAGCATGGAACACCTATATACACCAGCTTCACTTTATACTTGCACAATACTTTGTTTTCATGACTCATGGGGAAAAAAAAACTACTTTTGTGAGAAAAAGTGCCTGCACCTATGTTGAGTAAGTCGACGATGACGTGTCAAACAGAATGAAATAATGATTGAAAATGATTGTATTTCTTGCAAAATTACTTTAAACATCATACATGTCAAACGTAAAATTTGAATTCAATTATTGAAAATATCCTTCAATATTCAATTATTGAATAATCGAAGTTGAACTATTCCGGTCTCCAAACTTCACGCACACATGACGAGGCTGGACACGGGTGCAGAAAAAGGAGTTTCAGTGATCAAGACATACAGATCACTGCACACACACATGGCATGCGATCGTATGTGGGTACGAAGAAAGGAGTTTCTGGGATCAAGACAAACATCACTGCAACTGGCCATCACGCGACCGGCTGAGGATGTGGAGAACGGTGTTTTCGGGATGATCGCATTCATATCACTGAGAACATCCACCACGACTATCACATTCAGGACTATTACGACGACGAAAGCTCACTCAAGGAAGAAGCCTATTTCAAATGTTGCACACAACGGGGTGTGGGTGTAAATATGTGGTTGTGGGTTTGTGTATGTTGCCATCTTTATTGCCTCATAGCCAAACGCGTACCCATATCCACAGGTACACCCACATGCACGTTGTCATCACTCATTTGTTCCAAGTAAATACTATGATGACCATCCAAGTCTTGGAGAATTTGAGGCAAAATGCGACTTATTCTGATCATGTCTAATAATAATATTAATGTAATGGGTGAGTGTGTGGGTGTGGATGATGGTGTAGAGTGCGACTGTGCAGGTGTGATTGTGAGCATGTAGATGTTGGTGAGGGCGCGGCTGTTAGTATAGGTAGCTTTAAAAGCGTTCTGTACACTCACATCCACCATTTCGAAGTTGAGTGTGGGTGCGAATATAGATGGATGAACATCTTTTTATGGACATCTCTGACATCCGCGGTTACATCCAATATTTGAACGTTACTAACTATAATTGTTTTGTTGTTAATATGTAGGTCTCGCATGTAGTTAGGTAAGTCTATTTTAAACAGTAACGCCTTAATCTCTGCCCAGTGAGTGGGTGTATGTGGATTTGGATGCATGGGTGAGTATACTTGTGCGGGTATTGGCGTGGGCATTGGGGGGTGAAACTATAGTTATTAGCGACGCTGGTGTATGTATGCCTGTACTCAAATCTTATAAACGAAGATTGTACGGTTGCTATTAAGGATTGTTTTATTCTACTTCATCGACGAGCTTCGGAACCATGAAAGTTTGGTCTCTTGCGACTATTTTTTTGAAATAATCAGTGACATTATTTCTAGGGTTTGATATCGATATGGAAGATCGCGAAAAGGTAATGAATAGAGCAGAACACATGGGCAGAAAGCTAATAATGAAGCATGTTGGTAATTTTCTACAAGAAAGAATCACTAAATCAATAAAACCATGGGTGATGAATATAGACAAATGCACTCAAGAGACGACCGAGTGAAAATAAAGCACGAGTCGATCGAATAAAGGAAAGTCTATGATGAATACCCACTTCTTTTTTTTTCTCCATTCTTTGCAATAAATATTTTAGTCCCACATTTCTTACAATTATGACGGTTTAAATCCTTGAATATTCGCTTAGGAATCATAGCCTTAAAATAGTTTCGAAATTGGTTGAATTTTGTATACGTAAAATGCGTTGTTTGATTGTTGAAGAACTCTTATGTTACTCATGAGACATAAAAGGTTTTACATTTTTTTCTTTTTTCTCTATTTTTCTCTGTTTTTTTTCAAACTTCTCTCAATCATGCGCTTTCGACAGGAGCACTTCTCATGACAACAGTAAAGTGCACAATACGAAGAGCAGATAAACAATGACGGCGAACGAAGCAAAAGAAATTCGGTAAAATGAAATAAAGCTGAAATCGACTATATGCGTTGATACTTATTTCTCTATGATCCGAATCTGTTGGCATCGTTGAACAACACACGCTGATAAAGAATGATAGCTTTCTTGAGGGTGAGTGTGGATATTTTCTTTATTTCCACTCACACACTCACACCCTTCATCAGGAGTCGGTATTGCATCTTGTCGTGCAAGCTTTTCATCATCGATTTTATGACTTGAAATTTGTTGTAAAACATTTTCGTCCACTATTGTATTAACGTTAAGCATTTCATCAAAATGCTCCCTCCATCGATTTAGTGGATCTTTGCTGTTAGTTAACGTTAGACCGTTCTTATCCTGAACTCGTTGATAATTTGTATTCAGTCCATTTTCACGAAGTCTTTGTATGAACTGAAAAGCAGTTGCTGGATCATGTGCTTTCACTGCATTTTTTATGTCGATACTTAACTTCTCCCAATATTCATGTTGCCTAGCATATAATTTATTTGTACTATTTTGGCCAAACTCCGACATTTGTTTCGATATTTGTTCTCGTGGACCGTGGTCCGATGCAGTTGCCAGTCTGCATATCTTTTAACTTTTTGATCAACAATTTCCTTTAGCCCTGGTGTGAACCATTGTTTATGAGCTTTTTTAATACTTTTACTGTTTCAAAGTATTGTTTACCATGTTCTCGAACACAGCTAGCAAATTTCTTGAACTTTTCGTTCACTGATAAGTTTTCATTTTCATGCATTGAAGCTTGGCGACGCCTTTCTACTTCGATTTTGAAAGAAGATATTAAACTATTGTTGGCTAATTTTAGGTGATTAAGTCTTAATCGGCATTTCCTCTTTTTTTTGACGACATTTCAGATGTAAACGAATTTTAGCTCGTAGTAGGTGGTGATCTGTCCAATACCACCAGTTACCCCTCTATGAGCGCGTACATCTTGTATGCTGGTTCGAAATTTTCGATTAACTAGCACATAATCTAGCATGTGCAATTGTTTAGTTTCTTTATACATCCAAGCGCCTTGATGTATTACTTTATGTGGAAAGAATGTGTTAGTAATTATGAGGTTGTCAAACAAACTGAAGTCGACTAGTCGACGACCGTTTTGGTTTTTTTATCAATAGCATGTTTAACAACAGTTCCTCCAGTTGTATTTGCCTGTTCGACTCGACACGAGCATTGAAGTCTCATATTATCACAATCATATCGCTTTTCTGTGCTTTATCTATTGTTGCTTGTACAATTTTATAAAACTCATCGCAGGCTTCAATATAATTTTGGGTGTGGGTGTGGGTGTGGGTGGGTGTGGGTGTGGGTGTGGGTGTGTGGGTGTAGATAGATAATTCAAGAAGATCCTACATCCACACCCCCGCAGCCACAGCCACACCCTTAATGGATCTATAGAGAAAGATTTATGCCATGGGTAAGTCAAGAAAAGAAACAAGCAGAAAACAAATGAAAAAGCACAGAGAAACAAAAAGAAATGAATAAGATCAATGGTTTGTTTGACGATTAATTAATATAAGGTATTGACTATTATCAATTATGATTAATCGTATTGAGTATATTATATAATAATAATATAGTCGATGATGATATGTCACTCAGAGATTTCGACCTATTTAAAAAATCTACCGACAAGATTGTTTTTCACACAAGGTTTATACTTGTATTTTAGTCTTCAAACATATTGATCGAAAACAAGAATGACCACTTTATCAAGGTTGTTTAAAATACAGAACGATTTATCTTCATTTTATTCTTAGTTGATTATTTTTATAGATTGTTCTAGGTATAGTGGTTATTATAATGACTATAGCTATCTATTATTTATTTTAAAACAATGATTAAAAAAATTAAATTCAACGTTATAATGAAAACGTGAATTCTGTTTTATTAGGTTATGTGGAAATAATTTATTTGTTGAAATTGATTCAATGTATATAGCTAGAATTCAAGATTGTTTCAATTGAAAAATTCTTATTATTAGAATGAAACAAATGATGAAAAGAAGTTATTTTGTTGAAACTGTAAAAAAACATTTTTTTTCATAAAACAAATTGATTTGATTTTAATATTAAAATGATCTGAATTAAAATATTGTTTTGGTATTCAAATGATATTCGTAATGAAGGACAATCTATTTATATCATATATGATCAACACCATTTAAAAATCTTTTGTAAATAAGAATAAATTTCTTCGATATTGTTACCAATTATATCGATGAATTTTATCCTTATAAATAATTTTAGAATTTGACCAATAATTTCACCAAACTGCTTATGATTTTCTTAGATTTTTCTTTCCATATAAAACTCAAAGTATAGGAAACCTTATCTGATTTAATGTTGTATTTAAGAATAATCAATGACAATAGTTTACTTAAATGATTATTATTTATCTCAATTGTTTAACTTTCGATTTAGATGCAAATAAATTAGCTAAACGATTTGTGTTTGTTTGTTGTAGAAGAAAAATAAGAGATTTAATGATTAAATCTCATGTAAATATGTTCAAAAAAAGGAGTAACAATTATAGAACGATGTCTTTCATTGTCTATTGGTTGTCAAACCTGAATATTATTCAATGTATATCTTTTAGAAAATAGTTACTGTCTTTGTTGAGAATGTAAAACATTTTTTTTCATATTGATCAACATAATAAAAAGGAACGATTCTGTATATAATGTCTTCGGAATCGAAGAAAAGAGATACGTCAATCTTAGATAACTGTTTGAATATGATTTTCGAGAATACAATTGTCTTTAATAAAAAAATTATCAATATCTCTTCAGATATATTTCATGATGAAAATGGTTTTTTGTTGTTTAAATGATAAAATCTAAAATGAAGAATGGCATAGGGTGATTAAAGCATTCTTTTGAAATTTTTATTGAGAGAAACTTATTAATCAGTTGTCCGAAAATATATTCATTGGAATTATCACTAGAACAGGCATATTTGATGTGTTTGTCTCGCTGTTTATTTCATTATTATAATAAAGACTTGTCATTGAAAATATTTTAGAATTAGTCTTTCTATTTTGAAGTCTGTTATATATAGACTTATTTCTAGGTGTTTTATCTCATTAAAACGCCAATACGATCATTATGCCAAGCTTGATACACATTCATATCTTTAGAAATGTAAATGTAGTTTGACAAAATGAAATTGGTTTCCTATATTTCGTCGTTTTGACATGAAAATGATGTTAATGAAAAGCACAAGAACGAAGTGAAATCTTAGATAAAATTTTCATGTTGATCAATATTCAGTGCTTATGATTTATGTATGATCTTAGTTGTAATTTCGATAGTTTCTATTATGGCTCGTCGAATTAAATAGGGAGATTTATAAAAGTGGAAAATAGTTAATTTCAATTCTAAGTGAATTTATTCTCTGTCGAAAATCAAATGATGATAAAGGAGGAAAATGAGTGATAATGAATTGGAGTTCGAAGAAGATGAAGAATATCTTCGTTTATTCAACGTTTGTTTTTGATTTTCTACAATTATTTAAATGGGAAAAATAATTGAAGGCTGACTAAATCTTGGAAACTTGATGCAAGGACCATGTCCTCTGTATGCTGATACCACCACATTCAATGATGCCCGATTATTGCCATAACTAAATTTGCCCGAAGGACCAGCTGTTCGATACGGATATTCTTTGAAGGTATAATAGCCGAAAAAATTATAGTAATAACGGGGAGGATGTGGATCGATGAAAGCGAAAAGATAGTTAAAATTGTCCATATTGATATGTTTTTCCACCATTTCTAAAGCTTTTTTTGCATGTTTTGTAGATGTAACGTCTGGCAAATCTGTATGAAGTCGAATTGTTCGATTATGAACACACCAACCAACGACAGCATTTCTTTTATGTTTGAGCACTCTTTTGTAAAACCTCGACCCGCAGTAAACACTGTCAGGCTCAGTTAGAATCCAGTGTTGTTCTTCACCAACAAATTCATCAGTGTAAAAGAGTACATCCCAATCAAAATAATTGAATAATTGTCCAAGTTTCACGCGTGTCTCTTTGGAAGGTAAGCCTTCATTTGCAATCGATTCAACACTCTTTTCTAATCCGAAATCTCCATGATCTTGTACAAAAGCTTGTCGAAGAGTGACTTGATTATAGTACTCAATGAAATTAGTAACTTCTGTAGCAAACTGTTTATAATCAAAGCCAGTTTTGTAATTATTTGCTTCTTCACATCCTGTTAGTAAATATAGGAGTAGTATGGAGATTTCTCGTGTCTTTGCTGACCAGCTGTCAATCGGCTCGGATTGATAACGTGCACAATATTTAAAATATCCCATGATATCATCATGACGTAATATCATTTTAAACAACGATAATATTTTATCGATTCCTTGTGAATTATCATTACACCTTGAAATGATACTCTTTCGTATTATTTGTTTTTGCTTGCTTTGATAAAAATGACGAAACGTATCCAATAAAAAATGGATTTTTTCGGCAATATCTCGAAAGTTCCGTTTGTGCTCAGCACATTCAACAATGGTTTTGAGATGCTTGAGTCGATCTGTGATTTGATCTATTCTTTCTAAAATTGCATCTAGCTTAGCGTCCAAGTCACAAGTCGTAGTTGCACGAAATCCAAAAATGGAACCGGTAAAGCTACTAATCGAGTTGGCGAAACTTAAAAAACCTGTTGTACTAGATTGCAAAACATTTAAAGTGTTCCCAGAAATATCCACTATAGCTTGATTGGTACAATCATTTCTTTTTCTTCTTGACGATATGTTTTCGTAGAATTTATTTTCATTCAAAGCTGACATATTGTATTCACCAATGGCAAGTGCTATAAAATTCAAAAATGAAGCAATGATGAATAAGACGGTTAGTTTCATCTTTTTTTCTCTTGAAATATTCTATAAAAAACAATCATGTGAACGAAAGATTTTTAATTTTTTCGTGGAAATTTGCCTTGTTCGAACAGTCTACCTTTTATATCAGTGTTTAAATATTGAATGCAATTGATATTCGATACACCGTTTTCTATTTATACAAATACGATGAATATTGATTTTAGAAAAAGAAAAAGGAAACAGCAATCACCCTTACCACCGCTATCAATGTTGTCACACTTATGCTAAGGACAGGTACGAATAAGTGTGTATTTATATATTTCAGGCGTATGAATGATATATACATGTGTCAGAGCTCCTATCGGATGGGGATTTCCCCCATCTTATCTATTGTGTTGAAAGAAGAGAAGATCAACAGAAAAAGACATCTCAGAAATAGCTTAATCTGCTTATGCCATATTTCATTATTGGTGGTTATGAGTACGGGTTCGAAGTTATCGCTACCATTCCCGGGTAACAGTAACGGAAAGTTCCCAGTTACCCGGTAACTGATAACGGAAAGTTCCCAGTTACCCGGTAACTGATAACGGAAAGTTACGAGTTACTTTTTCAGGGTTACTCGTTAAAATGAAGAATTATGACTTCCTATGAACGAATTTTGTGAATAAATTAACTTTTAAAT